ACCAGCCAAACCAACTACACCAAATGAAATAAAATCATATATCACTAAACTACGCAACAATAAATCTCTAGGGTACGACCAAATTAATAACAAAATACTTAAAAAATTAACAAACAAAACCATACTTCTTCTCACTCACATATACAACACAATGCTCAGGTTATCATCCATTCCCCCAATATGGAAATTCTCAACAATAATATTAATTGCTAAACCAGAAAAACCAAAGCAATTAGTAACCTCATACCGACCGATAAGTTTATTACCAACGTTAGGGAAACTTTTCGAAAAATTATTACTTAAAAGAATAACCCCTATTATTAAAGAAAATAATATCATCCCAAACACCCAATTTGGATTCCGTTCATATCATTCAACAACCCACCAAATACACAGAATCACCGATAAAATATCATCATCGTTCGAAAAAAAAGAACACTGCCCAGGTGTATTCCTCGATATTGCTCAAGCATTCGATCGTGTATGGCATGACCCAGTCTTTCTCAAAGTGGGCGATAGCGCCCCCCTGTGGGCGTTGGCAGCCTTTAGGGGGACGGTAGGATGCCCGGGTTAGGAATGCGGAGGAATTTTGGGGGCGTTGAGTTGGGTTTAGGGGGCGATACAAAAAAAAAATATATACACATTTTATTATATTAAAAAAAAGTCTTATTTATATATTTATACATATATTAATACAAAATGTAATATAGTAAATCTATATTTATCAAAAAAAAATACCACACATTCACTGATCGCGGATTAACTAATAATATACCACCAATACGTGTGCGACGCGATGGCCCACGGGTTTCCAGGTATTGTCGTGTAGATATAAAAAGTTCCTAGAAATTTCGTCGATGTCGTCGTCGGTATTTAATGATCATTAGCGTTATCGTAACGGCGACAATAGTCGATAACTTAGTATTTATATTTTATTATTATATTACGTATTATATTGCGTCCAATATACGAGGCTTTAGTATACGATTTGGTGTCGAACCGCGCCGACCGCGTTAAGATTTTGTTTTTATTTTTTGTGCACGTATAAAATATCTACATATTTCTGAAGTGAAAACTATGTCGGAAGCAAAAAAGAAAAAAAGACAATACAGTGCGGAATACATAAAATACGGATTTATTCAAAGTCGGTCAAATCTATCATCACCAATGTGCCTCATATGTCAAAAAACATTTTCAAATGAAGCAATGAAACCTTCTCGAATGCTCGATCATTTTAATAAAATGCATTCAAATATGAAAGACAAAGATGTGACTTACTTTCAAAATATGGAAAAAAAGTACGTAGCTCAACCTACTTTATCAACGCTTTTTTCTGCGGCTTCTAAGCAAGACAATGATGGGCTTCGTGCGTCGTACAATATATCACTATTAATTGCTAAAACAGGCAAACCACATACCATTGGGGAAGACTTAATTTTACCAGCAATAAAAGAAGTAATAACAACTGTGCTCCATAAACCAGCGGCAGATATTATCCGAAAAATTCCTTTGAGCAATAGTTCTGTACAAAGACGAATTGATGAGATGGCTGAAAATATTGAAGAATCATTGTGCAATCATTTGAAGACTTGTCAATTTTCAATTCAGTTGGATGAGTCCACTTTACCAACTAATGAAGCATTATTGTTATCATATGTGAGGTTTATAAAAAATGAGAAAATATGTCAAGAACTATTATTTGCGAGAAATTTAGAGACAAATACAAAAGGAGAAACCATATTTAATACACTAGAAAAGTTTTGTGATGAAAAGCAAATCCCTCTGAAGAATATTATATCAATTGCTACTGATGGTGCCCCAGCTATGACAGGGCGACACAAAGGCTTCATAGCGTATTTAAAAAATAAAGTTCCAGACGTGCTTGCTGTACATTGCGTCATTCATCGCCAGCATTTAGTTGCAAAAAATCTGAGTGAACGCCTGCATACATCACTGCATTATGTTATTAGAGCAGATAATAAAATCAGAAGCAACTCACTAAATGACAGATTATTTAGTCAACTTTGCGTTGCTAATGATGAAGATTTCAATCGATTGCTGCTTCACACAGAAGTGCGCTGGCTGTCAAAAGGTACTTGTCTGACTCGATTTTACAATCTGTTTGACTCTGTGATAGAGTTCCTGAAAAACAAAGACACAGGACTTCGCGATAACCTCATCACATCAAAGAATGATATTTCGAACTTGACAGACCTCTACAAGTTATTTAATGATGTCAATCTCCAACTTCAAGGTGACGACTTGAACTTGATTAAAACAAAAACTGTCATTTCTACATTCGTTGCCAAACTGCAATTATACAAGAGAAATATTGGTAGACGTGAATTTAATAACTTTCCTAATTTAGCAGCAGCATCTTTTATCAACGATGACTTGGTTGTTTACTGTCAAAACTTGGAGAACCTCCACAATGATTTCAAAGAACGATTCCAGGACATTTTAAACATGGACATACCAGACTGGGTATTAGATCCTTTTTCGAATGTCAGCACAGCAGAATCATCCCAGTTAGAAGAACAACTTTTAGAATTAACCACAAATGAGGAAATCAAATTCAAATTCAAAAATGGCTATCAAGAATTTTGGCTGCAAAAGCCAATCATGGAACTGTACCCTAGTTTATGGTCGATTGTTCAACGATTTCTGATAGCATTCCCATCATCGTATTTGTCTGAACGTGGATTCAGTGCTGTAGCAACACTGCTAACAAAAAAGAGAAATCGGTTGCTTGTTACCGAACGCGGTGATTTACGGCTGTTTTTAAGTAAATTTGAGCCAGATATTAAAAAACTCGTTAATGCACATCAAGTTCATCCATCACATTAAGTAAATTTTATATTTTTTCATAATTCATAACTTTTTTAGCATGATTTTAATAAAAATAATTTTAATGTGAATAATTTTAATTATAAATGTTTCATTTTAATAAAAATACTTTTAAGTATGAAAAAGTATGCGTTTTAATTGCTGTCATCCAAAAAGCTAATTTAAAATTTATGTTAGAACTCAGAAATTAGATATAGCGTATTTATATATTATCAATTGTAATATTTTTTTTTAAAAGACATAACAGATGCTAAGTTAAATTTTTTTTTTTTGGGGGGGGGCGCTAGAAAATTGTTGATTCTCAAAGTGGGCGGTGGATGAAATAAGTTTGAGAACCTATGGCATGACCAGTGCCGGCGCGATGGGTGTGCACGAAGTGCGGCCGCACAGGGCCTCGTGCTTAGTGCGACGAAAAAGGGCGAAAAATGATTAAGTACGATAAGATAAGAATATTCTGGATATTTTCTCGCCGACTCTTCAATTACTATTATTATAATATTTATATACATTGGTATGATTTCGTAAAATTGTATTTTTCGAAATTCGGCCGTCGCCGTATGTTGATGATGTTCGACGATTTTAGGAAAAATACACCCGTTACACCGATAAGCCGATAGCAAATGTTATTTTTATTCTTAGTTAGCTGTCCGTCATCTAAGTCTTAGTCGCCTGAGTAGTCCGATTAACGATTTCATTATACGAGACTAGAAAACAATATCGTTAAATTATTCCAAACATTTGTTATCCTCAACGCTCCATCTCCACGTACACGTATTCATTGCTCATTGGTATAGCTGTTCAATTTTACAGGTAAATAGAAAATAAACTAGTTAGAACAATGTATTTTAGAATAAGGATATTATTTTATTATGCTTTAAAAGTAAGTCGAACTAAACTCGAACCGAAATTTTAAATCGTAAATACATTACTATAATAATTTACTAGACACTAGTAAAATAATAAATAAAAAATAAAAAGTAACTGTCAAGGGCCAATTATCAACCAGACCAACCATTATCCGCTTTATTAATATTAAATAACAATTATCAATATCAATTTTAATCTTAATATTTAAGCGTGTTACAAATTTTGATTATGTAAATAATATCCAGGCAAAAAAAACTGCCTATATAGTATAAGGCTATAAATAATTCAATAATACAACCAATAGTTGTTGTCTGGGCAGTATCAAGGTTTTAATTGTATTGTTATAACTTATAATATTAAAATTAAAAATAATAACTATGCCACTAGAAAGAAAATTCAACTTTGCGCATCAAAAATAATAAAACTAATGAAGAATATATGTGTATTTTTCATTGATTTTTCGAACTTTGAATAGTTCGACCCACCTCTATTATGTTTGTATATTATGTCACGTTAAAGAAATTATCACAATTTTACTGTTTTTGCATTTTTGACATTTGGATGGATATGATTTTTGCTATTTGCTAATCTAAAATAATTTAATTATTAGAAAAAAAATATACATACTCACATAAACCATGAAATCTTTAAATTTGTAAAAATAAACCTACCATGTGTTTGTGTATATTATATTTTTTCTAAGGTGATTAACAAATATGGTTGGCCGTAGTAGAGACCTTGCTAGAACTTTTCAATCGGGAAGTCAAAAAAGAGCAAAAAAACAAAAACAAGACGATTTTTTAAAAAAACAACGGGGCGCTTTAGAAAAGTATGCTGGTATTGTTACTAAAACAACTGCGTCTTTAAATGACGAAGAAAATGTAGATTCTACTTTGCTTCATTCCGTTATTGATACAAGCCCAGACAATTTAAGCTCTATACGTGATTCTACTACTTTAAATTTGAATAGGACGATTGAAGAAAATCAAGTTGACAATAGCTTTCTAAATATTGAGAAATTTAATAATATAGAAGACTTAGATTCTGCTAAATATTTACCGGTTCAATCGTCTTCAAATAATGAATATTCTATAATTGATAGTGTTAATACTTTCGAAAATTCTATTGTTTACGATTTAAGTGATCCTGCATATTGGCCACAATGTATGAGTAATATAAATCAAGTTTAAATAGTAGAAAAGGGTCCAATTAGAGTCAAAAATTATACATTTCCTATCCAAGAAATAACAGGTCGAAAATTTTCAGTCGCGCATTTTAATAAGATTATGAGTAATGGTGAAGTAGTAGACCGAAGATGGTTAGTTTATTCGAAAACTATGGACCGTGTTTATTATTATGTATGTAAACTATTTGAACCAACATTAAACACTTGTTTGGCCAATGTTGGTTGCGATGATTGGGGGCATTTGTCTAATATATTAAAAACCCATGAAAGAAATAAAAACCACTATATTAACACCACGAAATGGTTTGAAATAAAAAATAATCTGTCTTTATCCAACACATTGGATAATGAGTTTTTAGCAATTTTTGAAAAAGAAAAACAACACTGGCGAAATGTTTTGATTAGGATCGTTGCAGCTATTAAATTTTTATGTAAACGTTCGCTGGCTTTCCGTGGTAAATCTGATATAATTTTAACTAAGAACAATGGAAACTTCCTCGGGCTTATAGAAATGCTTGCCGAATTTGATCCTACTATGATTGAACATATCAGTAGAATTAAAAACAAAGAAACTCATGACCATTACTTAAGTCACCAAATTCAGGACAAATTGATACAAATTTGTATATTTGTATATTTATTTAATCAACAACAACAACAACAACAATAATAAAATTACAATTTTCGATATGATACAATTTGTGTTGATACCTAATCTCTATAAGCGATGCTTGTGGTGAGATTAGGGAGTCTATAATTAATTAATAATTTTTCTTATTTCTATTTTACATTAATATCTATTTCTATGAAATAATATATTTTTAACATACATTTGTGCATTTATGCGTTT